AAAAAAAAAAAAAAAAAAAGAGAGAGAGAGAGAGAGAGAGAGAGAGAGAGAGAGATAAAGGAAGAAGACAGTGAACAGCAAGTGGGTGAGGACTGGGTATGCTAGAGAGGTGGCCTCTGAGCAGAGCAGGAACAGAGTGCCAGGAGGCATCAGGCACAGGGCGTGTCAAGGCTGGGAGGAGAGCCGGGGCCTGGTGATTTGCAGAGCTGTGGGAAACCCGAGGCTGAGTAGGGAGAGGTTCAGCATCTGTGAGAGAGGGTGTAGGCCACAGGGTGCTTCTTTTTCCTCCTTTTGTGGTGCCTGGGCTGGCACCTGGGAGCACTCCATCACTGCCAACTCTTTTACTTTTGTGAGACTGGGTCTCTGTAGTCTAGGCTGGCCATCCTCCTGCCTCAGCCTCCTGAAGAGCAGGCATATGACACTATACTGCAGTTATGGGGGAGCTTTTAAGCCCCTGTTTTATGGAGGGTGAGGCAAGGGACTGGCTCCGTCATGGTGGAGAAGGCAGAGGTTCTGAAGAGCACTGGCCCCAGAGTCACTGAGCCGAGTGGGACCTGAGAAGACCGCATTGACCTGTGCAGACAGTGCCACCGCTGCTGGGAGGGGCAGAGTGGACAGCTGGGTCCATAGAGCTGGAGGAAAACAGGGGTCAAGGCTGCCCCTGGGACTGGAAGGAGGATGGCGAATCGCAAAGGTGGGAAGATGTGGGGAGAGGGAGTTCAGGATTCTTCAGGCCGTGCTGCTGAACACCGGGCCCTGGGGTTCAGGGTGGAGACATCTAGGTGGCCATCAAAAGCTGCGACACTGGACAAGGCAACCATGAGGGAGCTCCTGGGAGGAGAGGGGCTCCAGGCCTGAGTCTGGAGAAGGCTGGGACACGCTCCCCACTGCTGCTGAGGTCTGGAAGGGAGGGGAAGGGACAGACCCAGGCAGCAGGGAGGTGGGTGGAGCCCCAGGCAGCTGCAAGGAACAGCACCTTAGGGGAAGGAGACCCCAGACAGGCACCAGCCCAAGGCCCCGTGACCACGAGTCTGACAAGATGGTGGCTGAGAGCAGAGCTTGGGATGAGGACTCAGACGAAATCTGACGGAAGAGGGGAACAAAGACGCAGGCGAGAGTTCTGGTTCAAACGGGTTTTTTCTTTTGGTGGTAGTGGGCATCAAACCCCAGCTACATCTCCAGCCCATTTTTATTTTTTACTTTGAGACAGGCTCTTGCCAAGTTACCCAGACTGGCCTTGCACATGTGATCTTCCTGCCTCTGCTTCTGCAGGGGTTCTTTAGTCTTTACCGTCTGGAGGGAAAGATTTGCAGGAGAGGGACAGACAGATGAGGGAGGGCCAGCAGGACAGGTCGCAGGAGGAGTGGACAGACTGGAAGGTCAGCTGGGTCATTTGTGGGAACCTTGTGCCCTGCAGGTCAGCTGTAGGCCAGGGCCAGAGGTGAGACACCGATGAGGGGTGTGAGGAACGGCCGGAGGCTGTCTGCTGACCCTGTCCCACCCAGTGAGGTCAGGCTACATCAGCGAAGGTGAGGCAAGCTGTGCTTGCCTTTTGTGCCAGCCCACGATCAGATCCACGATCAGACACCCTGGGTGTCCCTTGGCCACATTCTATTCTGGTCCCCGAGTCAACCACAGCCTGACAGGATGCCCCTGAGCAGGAGCTGGCCGCCTCACCTGCTCATGGCCAAGGACAGCAGCCTCACCCATGGTGAGCAGCTCTAGAGCCAGCTCTGTGTCACAGTGCTCTGTCAACAGCACGGACGCGCCCAGCCCGGGCTTGGGGCCTCCTCCTTGCCACATCCTCCAGAGAAGCTCAGCACAGGGGAGCCAGTGAGGATTGCAGCACACTGGGGATGCCACAACCCACCTTCTTGGCCATTTCCAGAGGGAGGTAGAAGTGGCCCTCGCCCAGCCAACCATCAGAAAGGACAGGGCTGCTTCCCTGGAAGAGGGGACACTTTGGGGCCCCCAGCCAGTCTCCCATAGGAGGCCACCCTGGCCCAGACCAGCTGGGAGTGAGTACAACCACGAGAGCGAACAGCTACAATGACCCCTTACAGATGGGGAAACCAAGGCAGAGAAGCCAAGAGGCTGGCTGCCCTAGTTGTTTGCAAACTGAATTCCATCACCCAGTCCTGTCTCCCTTCTGGAGACAGGGATAAGAACAAACCTAACAGCTGCCTGTGGGACAGTTTGGCCTAACTACGCTTTCTCCAGAGGCCCCCAAATTACCACAAGCCTGGTGGGGCGGGGGTCACCCAGGATGCCAGGCTCCCATAAACTCCTCTCGGAGCGGCTTCTGAACCCCACCCGCAGCGCACGCACTCACATACCTGAGACGGTGACCACGATGTACTGCTGTGACGTGGGGGCCGGGGTGGGTGCTCCGGCCGGCTGGGAGGGCGCTGGGGCAGCCGGAAGCTCAGTCACATACTGCTTCTGGCCACCTGGGGGCTGTGCCTGGGGCTGGGGGCTCTGCAGCTCGGTGACATACTGGGGCTGGGGGATGGCAGCAGCAGTGGGCGGCTGGGAGGGCTGGGGTGCTGCTGGGGCTGGTGGGGGTGGCGGCTGGGGCTGGGCCTGGGGGGGGGCCTGAGGTGGCTGCGATGCTTTCGGGGCTGCCTGTAGCTCTGTAAGGTATGCCTGGGTTGCCATGCCAACAGTGGGGAAAATGATAATAAATAAGGCTTTTTTTTTCTTCTCTTCCTTGGAAAGAAAAAAGAGGAGGGGGAGAAGAGAGAAAAAAAAAAAAAAAAAGAAGGAAAAACAAGAATTAATCTACAGGCAGAGGAAGGCAGAGGCAGCTCCCGGCTCTGTGGAGACGCATTTGGGATTGTCACTAACTGAATTAAATCCCGAGGTCGGCGGCCAGATAAAGGTGACCTGTCCCTGCGGGGGACTTGGGCACAGACAGGCTGAGCGTCTCTGCTTCCTCCTTCCAGACCCACTGGGGGACCCTGGGCCAACCTGGTGGCTCTGTGTCCTCATCCAGGGACAAATGGCACGGGTCTCACAGGTAGGGCTCAAAGGCATGGCTGCCCCTCCTCTGCCCCTTCCTGGACTGAGCCGCCTACACAGTCTATCCTGCTGACCGACACTGTGCACTGCAAACTGGACAGTAACCCGTGGGGCTTGGGCTGGGCTGGCTGGAGGAGGAGCCATGGCTCCAGAGGTACAGCACCTGTCCTGGGCCACCCAGCAGGGGAGTGGCAGAGCAGAGCTGAGCCCTGGGGGAATCAGTTCTGGTTGGAAAGGCAAGGTGGGAGGAAGCTGTTCCTGGCGGCCACGCTATCTGGGCTGAGTTCTGAGCCAGGCATGGGAAGCTGTTGGGAGTCCACCCCCTCCCTGGGGCTGCTGTGGCTCAGAGGCTGTGGGGCCTCTACCAGGGGCAGGTGCAACTCTGTGAGCCCATGGTGGGGACAGTCGGGCCAGCAAACAGGGCAGTGACAGTGGGAGGCTCTGTCTGTGGAAGGCCATGTTCCCTGGGCGGGGTGCCGGCCATCTTGGCCTGTCTGTCCTTGTCCCCATCTCAGCAGGGGGGAAAATGGTTTGGGGCTTGTGCACTAACAAGCCCCATCTCAGCTCCGAGGGCGTATGAGGCACAGTGGGACGAACCAGTAACAGACACTGCAGCCCTGCACTTTGGGGGGTACTGAGTCTGACTGCCCTGTCTTGCAGCTACCCACCATCCTGGCCCACTTGTGCCCCAGAGGCTGGCAGCTGACCCCTGGCACCTGTGTGCTACACGATAGCAGGCAGCCCTCCAGGCCAGGTTGCCTCCTCCTTGTACTTCTGGGTGGGGGAACTGTGCTCCCAGATGCCCGTTCTTGGTCCCCAGCCCGACTCGCATGCCAGGCACAGTGCCCATCTACTCCTCTCCATCCTGTCCTGCCTGTGGGGTACACCACAGTGCCACCCCAAGCTCACACCCCAGGGAGCCCAGGGCAGGCATCAGCTGGGGAGCAGCAGGCACCCGAGGAGGTCCAGGGCCTCGCTGAGCTTCCCCTGTTCATCCTACCTACTTGTCCCTTCCTCTCTGGAGACCTGGGCTCTGCCCTTTGGTGCCAAACTCAAGAGGTGTCAGTGAGGTGGTGAGAATCCAGCCCTGGGTGGGGCCAAGGCCTCCTCCTGGCTGGGTGGCTTTTGGGGTGTGGGGGGCTTGCTGAGCTGACTGTGGGCTGGTGTCTCTGTGACCCAGGGGACAGTGCTGGCCAGGTGCATGGCACACTGGGCATACCCGGGGTGCAGAGGTGGACAGCCCTCAAGAGAAGCTGAATGGGAACCCAAGTCTAACCCTCGCCATCATCTGGGAGCTTATTTCTGGGCCCCACTCTGAGGTCTGAGATGCTTCCCAGAATCCACTGAGAGAGCTTGGCCCTGACCTTCTCAGCCCTAGGAAAGCTGGCCCCACCTTCTCCCCTCCCCCAAGGAAAGGAAAGGGCCTCTCCCTCCCTCCCACCTTCCTTCCTTTCCTTTTTCTTCTTATTTTTTTCTTCTCTCTCTTTCTTTTTTTTCTGTTTTTTTCAGAGTCTCCAACACTGAGCCCTTTTGAATTCTGAGACAAGGTCTCACTAAGTTGCTAAGTTGCCCAGGTTGGGCTTGAATTTATGATCCTCCTGCCTCAGCTTCCCAGAGTGTTGGGATGACAGTCATGTACCACCACACCTGACTAGAAAAGGGCTTTAAAAGCTCCTCCCTGGCTGGTGCTGTCTCCTCCTAATCATACCAACCCTGGAGGCCCCAAGCCTCCTGCTCAGGGGTGTGGGCAGGAGGTGGTGATGGGCTGAGAGCTGGTGTGCCCCTCCACAGACCGTGAATCACACACATCTGTCTACACAGCATGTGGGTTCTTGGGTATCTGAGCACACAGAACAAGAGAACTGCTGCATAAGCTTGTTCTCTGGCAACGAATCTGCCAAGAAAAGCCCTGGTGACTTCACCTAACTCCACAGCCAACAGCTAATTTCTAGAGACGGTCTGAACCAGTGACTTCAGATGGAGGCTGGCAAACTGACAGAAAGTGCTGGATGCTATGTCCGGTGCAGTGGGTATGTCTGCTGTGTGTGCTAACTCTGCCATGTGGTGTGAACAAATCCACAGACAACATGTAAACCAATGGGCAGGTTGATAAAACTTTCTTTCCAGACACAGATTTGAGTTCTATGTAATTTTCACGTGAGATATGATTCATGTCACAAAATATCATTCTTTTCATCTTTTCCTTTTTTTTTTTTTTTTTTTTTTTTT